ATCATTCCATCTTGTTTTAGACTTAAAAAAAAATGCAGGATCCATCAGGAATCCCACCTGGCCCTGCTGCTTCTCCAGCCCCTCCTGACCCACATGAAGCACCCTTCCCACATTACCACCTCTTCATTCATATTTCCCGTGACACTGAGACTTTTTGAAAGGTTCTGCCCCTCAGTTCTGATCTGTCGCATTGCTGCATGAGGATTGGGTTTAGCAACCCTTTTTAGCAAGGTGGTGTCTCATGCATCCAAGCAGGAGGCGTGCACACGAGTTGGCTCTCGTGGGCGAGGCCAGGTCTGATCACTGTCAGGGGGCATTCACCAGGACACAGCTCGTGCCCTTCTTTGTCATTACCCGGGAATCAAGGAGGGTTCTCTTAGGTGTGCGAATGTCTGGGTCCTATTTTCTCAACTGCTGCTTTTCTTGAAAGGCCAAATGTGTTGCTGGTTTGGGCCCCGAGTGCAGAGTTGGTGGGAGGAGAGGAAGTCTAGTTCAAATGGAAAGAAAACACCAAGATGGATTCCTGGAGGCCTCCGACTGTTGTCAAAGCCCAGCTCCAGGAAGACCCCACTGTTCAGACTCCAGGGCCTGACTGAGGGCCCCGATCCCTCCTAGCTGTGTTGCTCTGGTCCCTGGGCCCCTGGGGCCAGCCTGTGATTGGCTGCGAGATTGGGATTAGCAGTGTTCTGGGAATGGACCTGCCACATGACCTTGGGTAAGGACAAGAACCTGACATACTCAAGGAGGGAGGGCAGCAGACTGCACAGGACAGCGCGAAAGACCCAGGGTCACAGAAGACCCAGAAGGAGCCTGACCGGGAAGTGTGGGCTCTCTCACTCTCTCTGAGCCTCCGTTTCCTCACCCACAGAACAGGGGCCTAGCCTACAGGACCCCAGTTTCTCTAGTGGACTAATGACGGCATCACTCTGGGGACACATGCCCCAGTGTCACAGCAGGAGCTGTGAGAGGCTCGCTCTCTGACGCCTTCCGCTCAGCATTGGAGATGGGATCTGTGCCAGCCAGGAAACCACAGGGAGGTCAGGCTGGGCCCAGGAATCAAGGCAGAGATTCAAGATGAACCAGACCCTTCCGGGGTGGCCTGGATGGTGGCTAAGCTGCTCTGACGTCCCGGCTGTCCTGGCATCTGAGGTCCTCTGACACCCTGATGTCCTGGCTGATGAGGTCGAGTCATTGACCCAGTCCTTCTCCTGGGACCCGTGCTCTTGGCTGTGTGACACACATACAGTTGGTAGAGCACACTCCAGGCCCTGCCTGCTGTGGCCCTGTGACTCACTTGGCCAAGAACAGAGAGGACAGCTCAGCGGTTCGCCCTGGTTGGAGACGAGTTCTTGACTCCCTGACATCATCGTGGGACACACATGCTGCAGAACACCTGCCATTTGGCCTGACTGGGTCCCCTGTGACCCAGAGCCAGCCCCCTCTCACCCCCAGAGGTGTGGTGGACAAAGGCTCTCTGAGAAGGGGTCACGTGGAGCAAGTCCCAGAGCTTCCCCTGGCACTCCAGGGAGCCGGTGCTGCTGGCTCAGCCTGCTGACAGGGAGCTGGCTCTGGGTCCTACAGAAGGCCACATGTCTGCCTCGCTGTGGTAAACTCAGAGAAGGAGAGAATGAGGCTGGCCCCCTCCTGGAGCACGGGCTCTTGGCCCAGGGTCAGTCCTCTGAGCACTGGAGACAGACTCTTTTCAAAACCCTGCCTGAGGCATCACACACTTCTGTCCTCTTCTACGGCTGGTGACAGGGTCCCATTCTCTTTGGGTGACCCAGGAGGACCACTCCAGGTGCTGGGGAGGGAGGCAGGGCTGCCAGGGGGTCAGACCTGGGCTTGAGTCCTGACTCTGCCAGCCGCTGTGTGGGGACTGGCAGATGTCTCAACCTCCCAGTGCAGATTCTTCATGCAGGAAAAGGGCTCCGTGTGCTGACGGGTGGGGAGAGCGCGCAGCAGGGGCCACAGGAGCTGGACGGGGGCTCTGGCCCAGGCCTGGGCGTGCCTCCTTCCTGGACCGTGTGCCTCTCAGAAGGCACAGGTGCCTCACAGCGCTGTCTCTCTTTGGGTCCTTATATTTGCTCTGACATCTGCTCTCCCTGCTCTTGGCTTCCTGTCAGAAAACTTGCTCTCCCTTCCGCTTTCCCAGAAAAAGGCTAATCTTTTGTAAACGTGACCGGCCACACACAGGAATGACCACCCTGCTCTGGTGTCACGGTGGCCTCTCTGGGTTTTGGGCTCTCTGTGGCTGCATCCCAATTCTGAATTGTCCTGGRAGCTCAAAATCACCAAAGGCCAATCCCTAGGCCACGGAGGACTTCAGAGCAAGGACCTTGTATACACTATCGATTGCCATGTGGCCAGGACCCATGGCTGAAAACAGGCCAGCCCTAGGACCAAGAGGGAGGGGTCCCTGGGAGGCGGGCACCAGGAGGCCATCTTGAAGGGTGGCCTCTGCAGCATCAGTGATGGACAGTTCCCCACGTTGACCCCTGTCACCTTTCCTGTGAGCACTGGGGCGTCTGCTCTGCTTGGCACGGAGCCTTGTCTCTGTTCGCTGATGTGTGTCCCAGAGAAGCCCCAGTGCAAGGTGACACTTAGTGATGAGGATCGAGGGACCAGGAGGAAGAGGCTCCTAACTTCTGGGCAGGCCTCCAGCTGGCTCTTGGAAAGCCTCAGGGCTCGGGGTGGGGACTCCCTCTTGCGCTGGTGGAGCTGAGGTCCTCAGTGAACATGGTGCCTCTCAATGCTGGGAAACCACCCTGCCAGGCCCCTGAAGTGTCTGCTGTGACAGTCGCATGGCCAAGGCTGGAGGAACCACTGTGCTGACAGCAGGCCTCATGGAGGGACAGGAAGAGGTGTAACCGCTGGAAACCACAAGTCACGGAATGGCGCTTGTGCGACACACCCTTCCTCCCTGGGGAGGTCAGGGGCCCCTCTGACGGAGCCCACTCCGCCTGTGAGCTGGGCTCTTGCTGGAGCTGGGTGCACTGGGTCAGTTCTGCTCACGGCAACGAGCAGAGGGTTGCTAGAAGGGCGCCTGGGGGAGCTGGAGGTCCGCTCAGCCCAGTCCCCGTCAGCACCTCCCAGAGCTTGCCCGGGTGCAGGCTGGAGGGTGGGGAAGCAGAAGAGTGGAGAGGTAATCAGGGCCCTAGGTCATGTCCAGGCCCCTGTTCTTGTCCTGGAAAAACCTCAAAACTCCTGAGGCCTGAGCCTGGGTCCTGCTAATCTGACACTAAACAGCATGGATGTCACATGATGCAGGCAACGGAAGAAGCATCTGGACCCAACCACAGAGCTCAGCATCAAGACCACTGGAGGGAGCATTTGATAACACATCTCATCGGTGCCTCATAAAAAACGTTTAGAAAGACCTTCAACTAAAATCCTCAACCTAACCTTGTCAAAGCAACATCCAGATGCCGGTTTCCTGTTAACAACCTACACAGCCACCCCGCACAGAACCCCAGGTCTAGCCCCACGTCCAGCCTGTTGCAAGGACAGTTCACATTCACATCTAATTAATGCCACATTAATTGCCGCCAGCTTTCCCAGCACAATGTTCACATGCCTTTCCTACACAACAAGAGCCCCCCAGACCCGCACCTGACTCGCACACCTGCCCGCTGGAGCGGGAGCCCTGCTGCTCTTGGCCTGGGCTTATTGGCTGGGTCAGGGGCCAAGGCCCCAGGCTTAGGAGCCCCCTCCTTCCTCCCTGAGAGGGAACGGGGGCTCAGACCCCAGCTGTCTCAGCATCCTGTCCTGGAGGAAGGGACTAACAGCTCGGCAGCTTCCGGCCCCCATGTTTGTCCTCCCAAGATTGTTCTCGGAACTCAGAGAAGGTCCAGGACATTGTCTGAGGAGCTGGGTCCCTGGGCATCCAGGTGCAGGGCTCCCGGCCCCTGGCCACCACAGGTGGCAATGTGTGGTGCCGTACTGGGGTCACCCGGCACCCGGCAGAGGGACCCCAGCACTGTGCCGCAGTCTGTGTACTGTGGCAACTTGGGTGAGCTGCGGGGTTCTTGCCCACAGCCCCCTCTGGGCTGGAGGTAGCAGGTGCTCCCCGGCTCTGGGACCCCCATGACCACATGCTCAGGCCACACGGCCCCCGCTTCTGTCATTGCTCAATGCACACGTGGCACCGCGCCTCCCCACGTGGATGGCGGATGAGCAGCCTGCTCCCTGCTTCCCCCACCACACCCACACCCCACACCCATATCCTGCTGGGGGGAAGTGAGGGAGAGAGCAAGGCAGGGAGGGAGGAAGCCATGTCCACCAGGAGATCCCGGCCCTCTCCTCGCAGAGCGATGGCGGGGCTGACACACCGTGGCGCCGGGCGCTGCGGCTGTCTGTCCTTCAGGGTGGAGCTGCAGKGGAGGACGTCTGAGGGGCCCTCCACCCTCTGCCCCTGCCCCGCGCTCAGCCCCAGGGGCAGAGGGGAGACCCGGGATGGGAAATGTTTGCTGTCAAGAGAGGCCCTTGCTCTCTCCATTCAGAGACTGGAGGTCCCCGGCCAGGGCTTCCTGGGAGCGGACAGATGGGCAGGCCACTCCGGGAGCCACCGGGGACTGCTCAGCAGCTCTCTGCCATCTGCCTGCCACCCTCTCTCCCATGGAGGGACAGGGGCGGCCCTGCAGGGGTCTTGATCACCCTGTGTCTCTCCCTCTTGGCCCAGGGTTGAAAGCAGATCCATGGAGAACTGTCACAGGCAGACACCTCTGTGGCGCAGTGCCACTGTGCCTGGCACCTGAGCAGTGGCTTGGTGTGTGTGTGTGTGTATGTGTCTGCTGCGGTCCTAGTAGGTTGGACAGGAAGCCACACAGGGCCACAAGAGGCCTGGGTCGGGCAGGGCGTCTGCAGGAGCAGCTTCCCTCTGGGCTGTGTCCATCCTATGGGGGATGGGCACAGGTCTCGGACACGCGGGGGGCACCCAAGCCTTGCCAGGGAGCAGACACAAACCCGTCCTGGGAGGCACAATCCCCAAAGCACCCTGGTACCTGCTCCTGAACCGGAATGCCAGTCGGGACCATGTTCTGTGTGTCTGTGGCGGAAGGTGAAGTCACTGCTCTGCTGCACGGCAAACCGCCTGGGACCACAGGCCCAACAGGAAGTTGGTGTGGCCCATGCCAGGGCCCCGCGGGGCTGCCTCTGCACAGCGGAGGCGCCTAGCAAACCAGGGCCCGTGAGGTGCCAGGGTGTGGCCTCGGGTTCCAGCCCCCTGATCCAGGCGGGAGGGCCCTGGGCACCACCGACCCTCCTAGTAGCAGGGGAGGAGGAGGAGGGGCAGGAGAGGGCACGCCCTGTCCCCACCCTCCTGCTCATGGTGACCCCTCCAGAAGAGAGGCAGACCTGCCCCGTCAGTCTGGGAGCCCCTGTCTCAGGGCAGGGAGGAAGGGACAGCAAGCAGCTACCAGCAGCCCTGGGAAGGGGCACTGCAGCCACCTTATGCTGCAGATGACCACACCGAGAGTCGGGGACCCAGCTGCAGGCTGGGATTTGAACCCAGGCCTGGCTGACTCCATGGCTCTGCTCTGACCTGTGAATGCCTACAACGTGGCTGCCTCCCGCACCATCCCCTACCCGGTCAGGGGATGGTGCAGACTGACTGTGGGGGGCTTTCCTCACCCCCTGAGCTGGGCACTGAGTAAGAAAGCAGAAGCCTGGGAGATGAGCAAGAGGAAGAGTGAAGGAGAAAGTGGGAACAGAAGAGAGACAGGGAGACACCAGAGGGAGGTGCAGGAGGCAGGGCCCGTGTTGAGCCCCGTTGGGGTGTGCCGCCAGCCCTCACCGTGAAATGCACTTTAGAAGAAATAAAGGTCCACAAATATCAGATAGCCCCCAAGGCCACCCGGCCACCAGTGGCCAGGCGGGCACCAGAGCCAAGGATGTTCTGCTTCAGACTGGGGCTCTGTCCTCATGCACATCTAGCATCACTGCCCCCTGAACCTCTGACCCTGGACAGGTGACCCCAGATCCGCAGGGAACGGGGCCACAGTTATACTCTGGTCCCAGCTCAGAACACGTCTGTGAACACAGACTTCATCCACGCCGTCATCACAGCCCACGCAGCGACTACGGAACCTCAGGGTGGGAGAAAGCCCAAGCCCGCCAAGCAGACCTCGGGCTCAGCAGCTGCTCTGCCGTTTCAGACACACAGATCAGCCCTGAACCTCAGCTGCAGCCCTTAAAACTAAATTGTGATTCTTCAGACACCTGCCAACTCTTTTTAATTAAAGTTACTTTAGGCCAGGGAGGGAAGTGACTGTCCAATACCGGGTGACAAAGTCAGAAATATCTAATTTAGGGGCTGGGGTGGTGGCTCAGTGGTAGAGCGCTTGCCTAGCATGTGCAGGGTCTTGGGTTCGATCCTCAGCACCACATAAAAATGAATGAGTGGAATGAAGATATTGTGTCCAACTACAACTAAAAAATAAGTATTAAAAAAAAAAAGAAATACTTGGCTGGAGTTGTAGCCCATTGCCTTGCAAGTGTGAGGCACTGAGTTCAATCCTAGCACCACATTAAAAAAAAMAAAAAAACAAAAAAACAAATAAAGGCATTGAGTCCATCTACAACTTTAAAAAAAAAAGAAATACTTAATTTAAAAGACACTGTTAACAGTAAGAAAGGTGCTGGGCATGTTGGTGCCTGCTGGTAATCCCAGCAGCTTAGGAGGCTGAGGCAGGAGGATTGTAAGTTCAAGGCCAGCGTCAGCAATTTAGCCAGGATCTGAACAACTCAGGGAAACCCTGTCTCCAAAAAAAAAAAAAAAAAATGACTGGGGATGTAGCTTAGTGGCAAAAAGCCCCTGGGTCAAATCCCTGGTACCAAAAATAAATGGATAGATAAATATATAAATGCATAAATAAAATAAATAAAAAGGGCTGGGGATGTGGCTCAGTGGTTAATTGCCCCTGGATTCAAGCCCTGATACTGAAAAACAAAGCAACAAACACACAAACAAAACAGTAAAAAAGGAGAAGATACTTAGACATCCTATGCCTGATAAGAGATTGATACCCAGACTACACAGAGAAGTCCTGGGGCTCGCAGGAGAAGACCAAGCAACTTGGTTGGAAAATGGGCAAAGGACTAGAACACATTTCCCCCAAAGCCAACGTGCTAATCAGTAAGCGCACGGGAAGATGCTCAACGTCACTGGTCACGAGGGAACTGCAGATCCAACCACGATGAGATACTGCCTCACGCCCACCAGGCGGCTACTGTCAAAAACCCCAGAAGATAGAAAGTGCTGGCGAGATGTGGAGAGTCGGAACCCCTGTGTGCTGTGGGTTGGAACCAAAGATGGCGCAGCTGCTGTGGCAACGGCGGGCGGTTCCTCGGGAATGTGAAAAGAGAACCAGCACCTGACCCAGAATTCCACTTCTGGGATCTCACCCTGAAGAACTGGGAGCAGTACCTTAAGGAGGTAGCCGGTTCCTGGCAGCGTCATTCAGAAGAGCCCAACAGGACAAGCTGAGTGTCCACCAGTGATGTACAGTCAGTGGATAAGCTGGATGTGGCACGTCCATCCAAAGGGACATGACTCACCCTTCAGAGAGGCAGGGAACTGTGACACAGACTATCAGGTGGAGGGCCCTTGAGGACATTAGCTAAGGAAGCCACCCCAGAGACAAACACTGAAGGAGAGACACCCATGGAGCAGGGTGGCCAGGGTGGGCTGGGGAAGTGGGAGGCGCTGTTTCATGGGACAGAGTTTCAGGTCTACAAGGTGACGGGAGGTTTGGAGACGGGCCGTGGAGATGTCTGCACACCATGAATGTACTTTATACCATTCAACTGTCCTTAAAACAGTTAAAGCAGTCAGACTTACAATGTGTCTTCTCCCACGGTAAAAAGAAGAAAATTGGACAAGAAGAGGAAGTACTTCGTGCAGTCAACAGGCCGCTCTACCCCTGCCCTCGTGGAGACCTATTTAAGCTAGGAAGCCAACTTGGCAGAGACGTTTGCTGGCAGGCCCAGCTGTCACCTCTGACCCCACTTCCCAAATTATCTCCTAGCTGGGGTGGCCTGAGACACAGGGAAGATGGGGCTTCCGGAAAGTTCTATGCTCCTGATGTAGGAGACTGTCTGTCCTGGCATGTGCCTGTTACAGACAAGGCTAGGCACCAAGTTCTGCTTCCATTTCCAGTAGGTGGCGGACATCTCTGCTGGATGGGGGCCACATACAGGCCGAGGTGACACACGCCTCTTGGATCAACCTTGGGTGCTGCTGTATCCTGTCCTCTCAAGCCTACCCCAGAGCAAGGCTGGTCTTGGGACCATCAAAAATCTCCTGCTGAGTGGGGACTGCACAGCAGTTCTCCCGGCATCGAGGTATTTCCCTCAAGGAACAGGACTGAACAAGTCCACTTTGATGGGACTCACAAATGGGCAGGCACGTTTCCCAGGGGGCTCGAGAGGATGCACATTCCTTGGCAAGGTCCCGTGCGCGTGGGTCTCGATGCCTCCGGCCTCGGGAACTCTAAGCAGATGTCCCAGCGGGGACAACTGGGATGACAATAAGGTCCCTGTGTGATCTGAGATGGGCTTCCCCACTTTTGCTTGGTAGGGACAATAACAAATCAAGTCCCTCTGTGGTGTGACAGGCCTTCAAGTGTCGGAGGACTCTTGGCCTCGCTCTTCAGCTGGACACTGTCCTCCAGGGTCTTCTTTTCATCCTTTGGCCCCAGGCTTCTGCCTTAAGCCCACACAGTTCTCTTTGGCCCATGCCTTGGATGCGTGGCCGTCACACCCAAGCCTTATGAAACCCTGCAGGCTGGCTTGGTGACTGTGCCCATGGCACATGGGAGCTGAGAAGGGGTCAGTGAGTTGTTAGCCAGTGACCGGGAAGCAGGGATCCAACGCTCCAGTGAGAGTCCAGAGCCCCACGGGCTCAGCTGGCCTTCAGTGGCCTCTCTGTGGAACACTGACCCGGAGGCCGTGCTCTCTCAAGGGTGTTTTCATTCGTCCACATCTTTCCTAAAATGACTGAGGCACCAGGATCCCGACCCGTTGTCAGGTCGGTGGTGAGTGGAGGGAGGAGGCCTCTGTCCGTGCCCTGGGCTGGGGCCGGCAAACTGTTGCAGCCCGACGGCCAAATCCAGCCCATCGCCTGTTTCTGCACAGCCCCAGCTAGGAGAGGTTTCACATTTTAAAATGGGAGGAAAAAACCAAAGGAAGGTACTATTTCATGATTCGTAAAAGTGATACGAACTTCGAATCCCAGTGTCCGCGGAGACGTTCTGTTGGCCCAGAGCCACGCTCGCCTGTCTCGGCTCCGGCTGCCGTGACAAAATATCAGAGATGAGGTGGCTCACAACAGACACATGTCTCACAGTTCTGGAGGCTGGAAATGCAAGATGGAGATGGAGGTGCTCTCAGCTCTGTCCCCGTCACCTATGTCCCTGCCCTCTTCCCGCCTGCCGAGGGCCCAAGGCAGAGAGCAGCTCAAGCCTCCCATGTGGGGCTTCACTTCATGGCCCTGGTTACCCCCCCAAGCCGCGCCTCTTAGGGCCACCCATGGGGAGCTGGGGCTCAAGGCTCGGTGTGGGGCATGGGCGCTCAGCACCTAGCACCTACTTGCACGGTCCCTGGCTGCTGGCCTCTCATACCACGACGGCACGGCTGGGTTCAGATGCACCTCAGCCGACGACAGGGTTGCAGTCTGATGAGCCCCTCCTAACTCGAAAGTGTCCTATGTTGAAAAGGCACCCAACACTGTGATAAGCCCATGATAAAGCTGAAAAGTCGTCTGTTGAAACTCCGCGAGGCAGGGCAGCTTGAAGGTGCAAGTCCAAGATGCGTTCTGTAGAGAAGACCTCAGATCTCGGTCCAGGACAGCGCCTCCACCCTGCTTCACACACACCCTTCCCATGACACACCCTCCTCTGCTGCACCCCAGGCCCCAGGCCCCAGCCCCACCTACCATCCTTGCTTCCCGTGCCGACTCTAGGACTTCTCCTGGGTCTGTGTACTGTTTTGATGAAGCAAGACGACCTGCCGGGAGCTCCTGCTGCTGTCCTGGGCGCACTCCTGGTTACTGGGGTCTGGTTTGCCTGTGTGGTTGACTTCCCAGGCAGCTCCAGGATTCTGCTGAGTTTTTCTTTGACGGGATCATAACCTC